CAGATCTTCCATTTGCTTATACTGGCTACCAGACCTTATTCTAGAGGAAGTTCTAGAGTTGACAACAGAGGGTGATATAAAGTAATAATTTAGGAAATACGGCAGATTTTCTAAACATGATGTACCAGAGATGGAGAGACAAGGTAACAATCATAGAGGTGGAGGACATAGGCAGATCATCTTCTTATTTCGCAATCACTCCACAACATGAATTTGTGCAAAATATGTGGCAAATCAAACACTCCAGCCTATGGTGCATGCACAGATGGATCAACTTTTCACTCCTTGCTTCTTCAACAAGGAAAGAGGATCACAGTCCAAAGGCATAGATGCTCTTCTATCACCATTCTGCTGCTCAGAATTTCAGTTTCAGTCTCCTCTGCTGACATCTATCCCAGAATATCAATCTACCTCTGGCTGCATTGCCCTAGCTTTCAAAATTGGTTCTTAGATTCTGGAACCACCACTCATCGTCACCAATGATCTTAAAATTTCACTCAATTCAGCCTAATCAAGGTTTGATCATTGTCCACTATAGGAGATGGTTCTACCTGCCAATTCATCACAATTGGAATGGTTGCTTCCATACACCAAGTACTTCTTTCTTCTCATAATTTGCTTCTTTTCCTTCCATTTTACCAACTCTTTGTACTTTCATCAATTCAGTAAAGTGATAACAACTGCCACCATGACTTTTGATGCTGATTGTTTCTTTACAGGACAAGTTTCAAGCAATTCTTCGATAAAGGTCATTCACCAGCTGGGTCTTGTACCTCTCTCAGTTACAATCGGGTTGTTCCTGGAACTGTCTTCCACAACTTGCTTCAATCTTCCCACTAGACCCTCTTCTGGGGCAGCCAGACGCATTGGCATAGCTAGATTAGGTTCATCCTTCTAGTAATAAGTGCAAGTGCTTTGTATCCCAAAATTTGTTACCCATAATGTAACCTATTCGCTAATGATAATAAGCCTGTGGCACACATTGCTGTGTTTCCTAAGAAGTCAAGGTTTGCATTTCATCTTTCCCAATTCCACTGTAATCAACCCATTGGCCTCTTATTTCACTTCTGATGTATGGGGCCCCCTTTAATGCATCCCTATTTCACATTAGATCTGATGTGTGAGCTTGTTTAAGAAAGCCTTCAATATGAATGGATTCAGAACATAATAGGGAAGATAAGGCAGTAATGGAGATAGGTTCAGATCTGGTACGAATGGATGTTTTAAAAGCATTGTACTCATCAGGTAGTCCATTTAGAGTAAGTAAAACCAGATCTTCATCATGAATTGGTGAGCCAGCAAGACTTAAGTGATCAGCAATAGTTTTGATTTGACAGAGATAGTCCTCCATTGTTGAATTCTTCTTGGTAAGATGATTGAGCTTAGTTTTCAATTGATGTACATGTGATCTAGACAAGGAGGTGAATCTTGTAGCCAATGTAGTCCATACTTCATGACTAGTGAGACAATGCAGAACAGATGTGTATATGGATGAAGACAGTGTAGCAGTAATACAACTAAGTAAATGTGCATCAACAGTAATCCATTCTGTGTAGTCTGGATTGACTACAGCATTATGATTCTCATCCAGAATTGTGGAAGAAGGACATTTCTTTGATCCATCAACAAATCCAAGTAGATTTGTGGCGCGTAATATGTTTTGGAATTGACTTCTCCATATCAGATAATTTGTAGGCTCAAGTTTGATTGGAACAAACGAATTTAGATTGGAGATGAGCAGAGTGAGATTGGAAGGTAAAGAAGAACTGGTAGTTATACCTGATGAAGAAGCTGCCATTGCTGATTCTTGATGAAGATTCACCATTGATAGATTGAAGATGAAGTTTTTGATGCTCGCAAGAGCTAGAATGCTCTGATACCATAAAGTGAATATGAAGCTTATATTTTCATTATTAAAAATAGCTTATGTACAGTTATAGTTATATACAACAATTGTAACTCTAGTAACTAGTTAACTAACCTAAGGTACAGTTATAACAACTTTCTAACTAACACACTAACTAACACATCACTATATGTAACACATGCACCACTATCTCTAACTGATTTGTAACTGATTTGTATAGCTCTGCTGTATAATTCTACTGCAGAAAGGAGCTCAGCTCTGTGGCTTCAACTGCAGCTCAACTGCAGCTCTTCTTCTCTTCTTCTCTTCTTCTCCTATATTGACTTCTATTTTTATCATTCTGTGCACAAGTCTTCCCTTCTGTTTTTTTATTTATTTATTATTATTATTTTTTTTTTATAAGTAGAAATGTAGGTAGAACATTGTCCTTTGTCATTGTTCTACATCAAAAGTAATAGGGGAGGGAGAGAGATGGCATTGATGACATGGGGTTTGTTGAAACACCAATATTAGTCGTAGGACGGAGGACTAGAAAACCTAACATGTTAATTTGCCAACAAAATTTAGCCAAAAGAACAAAAAAGAATACTTTTTCTTCTGTTCGTAGCTTTTCCTAATCTTGGCAAACAATGAGATTTATTTTCTATTTCATTATAGACAAAAGTCAATAAAGTGTATTGAAATCCCTTCGGCAAAGAACTATTTCCTTCCCCCCGTTTTGTATCGAATTGAATGACTGACAGCATGAATGTCCATATTGGCTGGTTTAATATGGAAATCTCTGAGGCTAAATTTCCAAGTCAAAGGTTGCCGATTCCTTCAGTGTCTTTTGGATTTTCTCAACTATGACTTGAAAATTTAGTCTCCCGCATAAATTCAACTAATCTGGATATTATTGTCTCTTAATTATTCATTGGCAGCCATAGTTGTTAGTACACATTATAGACAAAATGACCCCTACCTTGGAACCATTTGAACTCTATTTTTACGCTTGTTTTGAAAAGCTAGTTTTGAGAATGATTCTCATGGACTTGATTGCTTTGTCTCTGGTCCTCTCCAATCATGAAGTGCTGTTGATCCTGGAGCAGTGAAAACTAACATCATGCGAGAAGTTCCGACATGTATATCTTATGTGGCACTTTTAGCCTTGAAACTTTTGGGTCTTCTGCAATCGCCTGAAAATGGAGTCCGCTCTATTCTTGATGCAGCTCTTGCCCCTCCAGTGAGTTCTTTATTCTGATCCATTGTGATTGCTTCTGCAAAAGTAACTATTGGTAAATATTTTTTTTCCACGTGATATCTTATGTTTATGTAATCTACTTCAAGAATTAATTGGGATTACAGCTTTTTGGATCAAGTTAAAACTTAGACTTTCTCTGCTGTGCTAACCATTTTATGTTATTTTCCAGCACAGAGAATTTCTGTGTTCAAGTATGATAGAAAAAAGAGTTGACGAAAACTTGATTCTAATTCAGCTTACCATTTCATTGATCTATACAATTTATACTGTTTACCATTTAGTTACAAAACTAATCTAACACTAGTTAATCCTAATCATTCTGAGCTACATCTAACTAACTGAGTTACATCTCTAACGAACCAAGAACAGTTACAACAAACATCAAGCCTTGATCCCTTCACATGTGTCTTAAGTTTGAGCTGGATTTGTTGAACTGATGAGTTGGTGCTTGAGTGTGAGCTGCACTTGAAGCCATTGCATGAGCCGCAGCCTTGCTATTCTCTGTATTCTCATCAAGAGTCCATTTATTAAATAGGCTTATGACATTGGTGGAGGATGATACTAACGAGTCCATATTACCTTGGGAGTACAATCTTATTTGTATTTTTTTTTTTTTTGATAAACCAGGACAGGACCCCATTCAAGTTAATTATATATATGGAATCCCCACCTAGTTGGATGACACCCAAACCTGGCAGTAATGAGATGCACCACTCCTCATCACCAGGCAAAAAGCAAGAGCCTTTGGCTTTGCCAAGAGTTGTATCAAAGGCCTAGAGGTTAGAACCCACCTCGAGGTGTTTGATTAATTAGAATTGTATTGCAGATATTTTCTAACTGTACTCTTATAAGAAAGAAGTTTTGAATATAACAGAAATATATTCCTTCTTCCTCATATTTTCGGAGTTTTTCTTCTTCATATTTTCTAAGTCCCACCTAGTTGGATGACACCCAAACCTGGCAGTAATGAGATGCACCACTCCTCGTCACCAGGCAAAAAACAAGAGCCTTTGGCTTTGCCAAGAGTTGTATCAAAGGCCTAGAGGTTAGAACCCACCTCGAGGTGTTTGATTAATTAGAATTGTATTGCAGATATTTTCTAACTGTACTCTTATAAGAACATGCTGCTGGTTTTAATACCTTAAACCCAACCCAACCCAACCCAACCCAAATCTAATCTAATGGAATTTGCATGGATCTTGGAATGACCGGCTAGATTTGTACATGAGCTAAAGTTTGAAAAATGAATATTTTTGGATTGGGGCTCGATGAGAGGTCCACAAAGTTCTTTCTTCTTGCATATCAATGGAAATTTGGAATCATTGGCTGCAGCAGTTCTTGAATTATACTGAGTGTTGATATGTTCATCTCTGGAATGTGAAAGTGTTTTTTTTTATTTTTAATACAAGTCAATTGATGGGAATTAAGCTCGTAACTTTTTTGATTTCAGGAGATATCAGGAGTTTACTTTTTTGGAGGAAACGGTAGGACCGTCAATTCTTCTGCACTTTCTTATGACACCAAACTTGCGAAGGAACTTTGGGATACATCTTGTGATCTATTCCTAGAATTGCAGCTGGCCTTCAAGGACACTTCCTTTTGAATATTTGTATATTGTAGGGCTTACCAAAAGAAAAGAAGAAGAAAAAGAACACATAATGTAGTGATTAATTGTCTTCGTATAGTCCAGAAGTTGGTGATGGAAGCTTGCTTGAAGCAATTAGGTGTTTGATCTGTTCCTTCCTTGTGATAGGACTTGTTCTATTGAGTACTTTGGATTGGTTGACTGCAATATTTCCTTACAAAAGTAGAAACTTTCTGTTCAAATAAATTTGTTCTGTTTGCTACATAAAATATTTTTCATTATGTTTTTCGTCATATCAAACTTCCAAACTTTCAAAAATGCAATAAACTCTTTTATATATGTATATATATTGTTTTTTTTTTTAGGGGGACAAGTGTTACCTTTTTTTTTTTGTGGAAACTAACAAACAAGTTTTACTTGGTGAGCTCTCTCTCTCCCTCTTAAACATTGATATTTTTTGAAGAGGATAAAAGAAATATAAAAATAATAAAACAGAGAAGAATGTGCGGAAAAAACAATTACTTATATTTTCATTTTTTGTAAGAGTATTATTTTTCTTACTTATTTTGGTCGGTCAAGAAACCAATGCACGAGAAAAAAAGCAATTATTGTTTGCTTGATAAAGGAAAATCAATTAATTATTTATAGATTAATCCTACAAACCCTACAATTTTAGAGGGAAGAAAGGTAGGCATTCTTGGCGCAAGAAGATATATATATATATATATATATAAACTAAAATAGACCTATAGCTTTGTACATTACTCTCCAACCAAAAAAATAGAGATTATTTGATCATTAAGGAATAATACTTGACACTTTTTTCTATTTTTTAATTTTTAATTTTTAATTTTTTTTACACTCATAAAGTTATATCACAAATATTCATTAAAAAGTAATGAGTATCACAAGTATAACCCATGAAAAACATGATTATGCAAAAAATTATATCATTATCCAGCAGCACACGTGATTCTACTTTTGATCAATCACTATTTGTTATATCTTTTCATATATTTTAATCACTTGATATAAAATTATGACTCTACACTTCCTATCAAGGGAAATTTGGCTATAAATTTTTTTTACCTTCCTTTCATTGTTAAAAGGACTAAGAAAAAAATTAAATTTTCTAAACCCCTTCATAATTATAAAATCTTGCATAAAGGACAAAATTTATTATTTAAATATTTTTTCAGACTATTATACCCTCAACTAAATCTTCTCACCTTCTCTACCCACTCTCTCTCCACCTTCTTGGTCTCTATGATTCTGGCTAGCCAAAATCGAGTTCATCTAAGCCTAAGATTCATTCAATCTTTGACCTAGAACATTGACCTGGTTCAAGCAATCACAATCTGACCTGTGTATTTGAATTGAAGCTTAGTTTGAAGCTTTAATCTAATTTGCGTCTGTTAAGAAACCAAGGACTTCATCGCAAAATTGATCCGATTCGACAATCAACCCGAATTCAAGCTTCTAGAACTCGCGATTACGAACTGGAGTCCTTCGCGATCTGACCTTGGGTTCTCTCTTGTGACTCGTTGTTCTCTGAGTCAACTTCGATGAGAACTTTGGATTTCAAGTTCTAATTGGAATTGCGATTTCAGTTTGCATCTGGCTTAAAGGTTGCAAACTCTAAGTTCGAACGACTTGCAGATCGACTTCGCTAACTGAATCGAAATCAGACTTGTATTTGCTATCTTGCAGCGAAATTAGACTCAATTTGAAGCTTCTATTGCAATTTGAAGATCCATCGAGTTCGCAATGACCACGTGGAGAAGAGTGCGGATGGAGTTGTTTGGTTATACATATTTTTTTAAACACAGATTTGAGTTTTGAATATATGTATATATATATATATATATATTTGTGTGTATGAGTGTTGTTGAACACATGTATTCTTTTCATTGAGATTTGTGATTGTTGATCGAGTTTTAGAAGTTTTTCTTCTCAATTAGATATGTTGATTTGTTGATTAATTTGTTTTATTTTTGTTTGTTTGTTTGTTTTTTATTTATTTTTGTTATTTTTTATCTAATTTCATTTGACAGAACCAGAGTAAAATTTTACTCTGGTTCTATTGCTCTTTTTTTTTCATTTGACAGAACCAGAGTAAAATTTTACTATTATACAGAGTAAAATTTTACTTTTGTGTAGAGTCTAACATTTTACTCATTTTTCAGAGTAAAATTTTACTTTTATACATAGTAAAATTTTACTTTTAGTTTCAGAGTATAACATTTTACTCTTATTCAGAGTAAAATTTTACTTTTATACATAGTAAAATTTTACTTTCATCCAGAGTAAAATTTTACTTTTAGTTTCAGAATGTAAAATTTTACTTTTATACAGAGTAAAATTTTACTTTCAAACAGAATAAAATTTTACTTTCATACACAAAGTAAAATTTTACTCTGAAATATATAGTGAAGATGACTTAATAGGAGAGCTGATAGATATGAAGGTAATATAGTAAAAGAAACAAGTTTTAAAATATTAGGGGGTTTTGAAAGTACTTATATAATTCTTGTCCTTTTGAAAGACAAACTGGATAGTGAGGGGGCTATCACCAAATCCCCTATAGTGAAAAGCCATTTAGAGGTATCACTATTGTTTTTGGTAGAGACTTTCGACAAATTTTACCAATTACAACCAAAGGAGTCATTGAGGAAATTGTTAATGTATTATTGAGACACTCTATTCTGTGAAAGGATGTACATGTTTTGTCTTTAGAATTGAACATGCGCTTGAATCACAAGGATAGTGGAAATGTTAATTTTGGAAAATTGCTAAACTTTTGATTTGATGAAATGCGTAGGCACTATTATGCTATGATTGATTTTACTTTTATTTATTTATTTGTAGATTAGGACCAATCCACAAAAAATTATTAATCTTTCATGAATAATACACAAATGTCAAGACTTGAAGGAATTAATCTCTACAATTTATCCACAATTGGATGTGGTAGATAAATCGATCCCAACCTTTTTAACTGAACGTATAATTCTTTCTACTCAAAATGATGATGTAAGTACTATCAATATTGTTGCATTGAATTTTTTTCCAAGAAACATCTATACTTATCTTGCTGCAGATAAAATGTCTGAAAATGATGAAATTGATCCAAGCAATACAAATAGAATACCTAATGAGTATTTAAATTCATTAGATCTTATTGGCCTACCAACTTTTAAGATAGAGTTGAAAGTGGGTTATTTTATAACATTGTTAAGAAACATTACACCCAATGATGGGCTATATAATGGTACAAGATTGATGGTTACTAATTGCAACACTCGCATAATTGAAGCTCAAATTTTAATTGGGAAAAAGTTTGGTAATTTGGCATTCATATCAAGAGTATCCTTGACACCGTCTTCTTCAAAAATGCCTTTCCAAATGTCAAGACGTCAATTCCCCATTCAATTGGCATACGCCCTAACCATTAATAAATCTCAAGATAATTTGTGAAATTTATTGGGGTTGATTTGCACACTCTAATGTTTAGTCATGGGCAATTATATGTGGCGCTATCTAAATGCACATCTTTTGATCATATAAATGTTCTTCTTCCAAAAGATGGCTCGGATTCTATCATAAATATTGTTTATCTTGAAGTTTTGTTATGTTACTTGTGGATCCAAGCAATTTTTAGCAAAGGGTACATTTACTTAATAAGCTTATTTCTGCTAATTATATAAACTTTCAAATATAATATTTAATGAACATGCGAACTTTTGTAGGATTGGGTTGAAAAAAATATGGATTCACAAGAATGAATTTCAAAGAAATGCTAGATACAGCCCACTCTTTGTAAAAATACATATTTTGACCCATTTATTGTTCGAATCTTTTTTTATTTTATTTTATAAGGTTTGACTTTAATTTTTATTTTTATTTTTTGAAATGACAAAGCACTGGCCGATGTGCATTATTTGTTGTTTAATTTTTATTCTTATTTTTTTGGATTGTAGAGCACTAGCTAGTGTGTATTATTTGTTGTTTAATTTTTGTAGTGCCCCCAAATAATTAACATATAAAGATCCTGATTTAATCATTTTCAGTTAAATAATCATGAAACTTCTGACATTATTATACTAGTAAAATCTTTAAACTTGTATTTCTTGATATACGAGAGATGTAAACAAGGTGTCCACATACAATACATATTCCATGTTCTCTAAGGTATAAATCTATAGCATGTGAGACAAATAGAAGTAAAGAACAAATTACAAAATAAAGTCTCTTGTGCTACAAGTTCCAAGGTTGAAGTGTAACGCCTTGAAGAAATAACACAATATAGACTCAATAACTTCCAATTACATTATCTTGTTTCCAAATCAATAACTTCCATTGCTTAATGTATACAGAAAATAAAACCTTAATATTGACATCATCATCAAATCTCCAACATTTGTATTCATTAAACTCAAGAGATTTACAAAAAAATATTTCACATGCGGTTATACATTCAACATTCCTAGAATATGAATATATAGCATGTGGCATAATATGTCAAGTACAATTCAATGCCCTCAAGGGCTACAATTTCCAAGGCTTATGCCAATTACACAAAATAAATGCTTTTCAAATCCATAGATGTAAAGCCCTTAGCTTGTCAAAATAATTACAACAAAAGGAAAAGAGCCTTGTGCTCTCAAAATACATTCCACACATTTAACTCGGCGGGATTAATACATCTTTTTCTGCACAAAATCCCATAAGGTAAGCACAAAGCCAAGTAGGATGATCTTAACAAAGTATATACATTTTATACAGTCTCCTAAGATGAATGCACATGTCATGTCATGCTCAAAAATATATATCTCTATCGTTTGAAACTTTTATGCCCAATGCAATTTGAAGATATAATAATTCAATAACATCAATGTAGTTCAAGGGGTGGTAAATACAACTTAGGTAATCTCTAGATTGGTGTCTGCAAGTAGGCATAACAAGCACTACCAATCCTCACATTACCAGTTGCTAACCGAAAGGCACGTGATACCTCCTCTGCTCGTGTTTTGTCTCTTTCACCATAGACACTCAAGTCAACTTAACCAATACCAACTACACCCCCTATTCGGACTTACCAATGTATTTATCCAAAACAAATCAAAATGATCTTATTTCACAAAACAATTCATTTCTCAAAGCAATAATCTTCCAATGCAAGATTCAAAACCAATTGCAACAATAATTAAATGGAATGGCAATGCAAGACTTAACAATGCATTAATATGGTTTCATTTTCAATTTCCATCACATAATCTCC